GTGGAGATGAGGTCTCATCTGCCCAGGCGGGTCTCGAATTCACGGGCTCAGGCAATCCACTCACCTCAGCCTCCCAAAGGCACAGGATTACAGGCTGAGCCACCAAGCCCGGCCAGTAGGTAACTTCTAATAGGGTCTCATGGGTACCTTTCTTCTGTTCATAATATAAACTGCAGGCTGACCTTGATGTCTATCTACCTATTTGTATGTATGTATACAAAAACAAAACCAGAGCTACTACCAGCACCGCAAGTATAGCCTGAACTGGCTAAGGTAGACCTTCTACTGAAAGACCAAAAGCCAATAAGCTGGCTAGTACTGTGACAAGACTTAAAATATCAAATAAAAAAAACAGTATGCTCCCTACCCCAAAACTAAAGCTTAATTCGAGTGGGGTAGGGGTGTGGGTGGGCAGGTTCAGGCTTGGTAAAAATCTAAGCTTTTGCAGCTGTGGTATTTTCCCATCATCCTCTATTACACCGTAAGCCCCACATGGCAAGACAAAACTAGGGTTTAGGATGTCAAAACCACATCTCCCCAGTGATAGCATTTGTCCCCAGCAACTGACAGTTGATCTACACCCACACGGTTATTCCATGCACCAAATCATAAACCTATGACCTAAGGTCATCTAGTGCAACCCCCCTCCTTTTTAGAGGAGGAACTAAGATCCAGAGTACTTAGGTGATGCACCCAAGGTTGAGTGGCTAACTGACCAGCACAGACCTAACCATGACCCTGATGTTCTTTCCTCGCACCACACTGCCTTGCTGCACAAATGTACCTTTTGTTGTGGGAGATTTCCTGATTTGGATATGTGAAAGACTTCCTTTAAGGAATGACTTGACTAAGTTACAGGTGTCAGGAGCTGACAAGATATCCATCTAAGTTCTGAAGTGATGGAATTTTGTCACCATTGTTCATAGACTTACTCAAGAATCCACAAAGCCACTCTAACTCCCCAAGTTCTCAGCCCAGCCCACAGTTGGAAGAGAACAAAGAGTTCTTGCTCCCTCCAAGGTTTTCAGACAGACAGTAAATTCACCCATGCTTATGTTGATGGATTGATGGATTGATTGATTGATTACTCATGTTGGTGCAGGATGTTCAGGTATGGGAGGGAAGTCTGAGTAGACATACCTCTCCCACACAGAAATAAATGTATCTTACCATCTGTGTTGCTCTCCACGGAAGTCACCACACAGCCTCGCAAGTGAATTGCTCCCAGGGGATCTTCCCCCTACAGGAAAGAGGGGTTGTCTGTTATATTTCCAAAACAGAGCGTATGGATATACCCCATCCTGTTGGTACAAAAGCCACACAGACTCACTCTGGTACAGATCAGGGCCCCCAAAATAAGAGGGACAGAAAGAGATTAAAGTAAAACTCTTTCTAGATCTAGGATCTTTCCAGATCCTCCACACTCCAGTGGGACCAGAAGACTGAATGAGAAGACGCAAGGTGAACCTCAATCTGGAGGAAAGTGGCAGGAAGGTGGAAAGGTTCAGCTCATGTGTCTCACTAAAGAAGAGCTGCATACTTCCAGGGCTCTTTGGCCCCACGCCAAAGAGGCATAATATCTTTGAAGATAGATATTAGTGGTATCACCCTCAAGGGGGAAAGTCAAAGAGCCCACACTGCAAGCAGATGCTGAGGACCAACCCATACAGAGTTGTCTTTACGCTGTGGAAATGGCTCGTTTTATGCAGGAAAAAGCCCTCTTCAATGATCAACAGCCCAAACTGCTGGACTTAAACAATGCTGTCATCCACATTGGCATGGATAGAAATGATCACTTTTGTGCTTATTAAACCATGAGTAGAGTGATGAGCTGATTGAGTTTCCCTAAACATACAGCTTGGGGTCAACAAGAAAAATTATGTTGAATTGACCACATAAATTATGATATAGTGAAATTTTCTTCCATCCCTGAGCTTAGTCTGGACTCAAAGTCTCAAGATCTCAGATCTTTGCATTGAAAGGGGATAGGGAAAGCATGGGAGAAGAAAAAGTAAGAGGGTGAAGAGAAGAAGGAGACATCCATAAAGTAGAAAGGAGAATGGGAAGCCTCCCTGGAGGCTTCCATTGGAATAGATTTATCGACCACAGAATCTCACCCCAGCAGGGTCATAGTAGTGCAGGTAGGCAGGGTCTTCTCTCAGGATGAACTTCCTTACTTTCCAGTTTTTCCTCCTATGCCCCTGTATCCAAGACCAACATTAAAAAAGAAATGATGAGTTCCTAGCATACTCCTGTACACATAGTACCTGCTTCAATCTTTGCTGAATTGAAAAAAAGAAAGAAAGGATTAAATTCTGACTTTAGGAGAACCAGGCCCCAATGCATGTCTTTGTCAGGGAGCTTACACTAAGGTCAATTAATAATTTGGATTTATTACCTGAGATAAATGGATGGATTAAATTATTCTAACTATTGTCTTCCTGCTCTAGTATAAATCTTTACTATGGACAATGCATTATGTTAGGCAACATAGGGAACATAAAGAGGATTAAGACATGGCCCCACTTTTCAAGGAGTTTATTACCTATGTAGAAATATAAAATGTAAATGCTGGGGGTGGGGTGGGGAAAAAAATAGCAAATACCCAAATCAAATCATTGGTATGGATCATGGGTTTCAAAGGAATTAAGTGAGGGATGTGTAATTGCAGGCTTTGGATGTCAAAGAAAGCCTCATAAAAGAAAGCCTGTAGTTATTCACATGGGACACAGAATTTATTTTCTTTGAATTGGTATCTCACTCCATCATCCAGTCTGGAGTGCAGTGGCACAGTCATGGCTCACTGCAGTCTCGACTTCCTGGCCTCAGGTGCTCTTTCTGCCTGAGCCTTCCTAGTAGCTGGGCTTAAAGGCACACCTCAACATGCCCAACTTTTTTTCTTATAAGAGACAAAGTCTTGCTATGTTTTCAGTCTTGTCTCAAACTCCTGGATTCAAGCAATCCTCTAGTTTTGGCTTCCCAAAGTGCTGGGATTACAGGCATGAGCCATCACACCCATCTTCAGCACACAGAATTCAGATGGTGAAATAAAGCTGGATGGGAAGACACAAAACAAAAGTAGAAGTGGGGATGCACCAGGTATATGCAGACGTTGATGAATAAGACCAGTCTGGTGAGAATGTAGGATTCTTCAGGAATAGCAGAAGCAAGGTTGGGAAAGTGGACAGGGATGTAGTAAAAATAAAAGGTGGGGAGGGGAGGGAATACTTGCTGATGGCTTTGGAGCAGGAAATGAAAAGACAACAATTACATTTTAGGATGATTAATATGGTGACAAAGTACAGGCTGGACCAGCTGGTTAGATTAAAGGAAACCCAGGGGAGAAATGATAAAATAAAAAGGAGATCATTTGGGAAAGATTGCAGCAATCTAGGCATGAAATTATTAGGAACTAAATTTTAGGGATCAGCAGCAGAAATGGAAGTGAATGTGGCTGTAGCAGACATGATTAAAAAAAAGACTAGGACTTGGCCTTTCCCAATAGAATTAAACACTGACATCATCTAGTCTGCGAGTTTTAAGAGCAGGGTTTGCATCTTGCCTGGCTCTGTTTCCCAGTGCCCAGCACAGAATCAACTGGGAGCCTGATACATGGAAGCTGCTTCCTATCTGTTCATAATTGCAACGAGTGACCTGGTTATTTCTATTCACCTAGAGCAGATTTTTAAATATTATGGTAAACCTGATTCTATTTCCCACAGGAAACTCAAATTACAACTCTAGAAGTCAAAATATTTATTAGATTAGAAGATATATAGTTTCCATCTTGTCAATACAAAAAATATCACTTGCAATTTCTAAAGCACCACATATTGACAAGCACATATACAAATGTTCCAACATTTTTCATTGCACTTGTGTTGAAAGCAATGAAACATCCATGGTTATAGCAAATGGTGCCTCCTTCATAAAGCCAGGCCGGAGGAGTGTAAAGGAAGCTTTCAGAAATTGGCCCAAGTTTTTTGACTAGACATTTGGTGAAGGGGCTCATTTCCAAAGAAACCTTTAGTTGCCTTAAGGATGGAGCCAGGAACCCTGCAGAGGCGTATGCAAGAAGAGAAAATATTTCTATCTGCTGTGTCATGTCCAGAATGGTTTTTGCAAAGCACAGAGTTCTAAATGTATGAATTCCTGCTCTTTGCCTTAATTAAGATAAAGACAGAAGTTGCCACCCCACCCCATTTCCTCTTCACCAACAGACATGCATGTCATGTTCTCTTATGCAATTGCTGGGTTATCACCAAGTTATTGTGAATCAGTGGAAGAGGAGGTAACAGGAGGATCTGAAATCGGCCAACGCTGGCCAACCACATTTTCCCTTGAAGCCCATACTGACATCACTGTGTGGTGTGTTGAAGAGTTTGATGTGAGTGAGTAGGTGTCTGGGTCATCTTTCATTTAATGAGTGTTTCCAGAGGAGTCTTAAGGAATGGATGCTTGCCTGGGGTTTCTGTCAAAGAACTGCTGAACTGTCAAAGTCATCTACTAATAGTTTACTTAATCCACTCTACAAAGGTTTATTGCCTATTACAGACTGGGAAGGATGTCGATCTCTGCAAAAGACACAAGAAAAGCTTATATAATACATTGTTTCTCTTCCTCAAAGAATCTATGTTAATATTAAGCAAATGAATATTTTATTCATTGTCATAACAGAAGAAATTACATAAAAAGGGATTATGTGGAATATAATCCAAAATCATTTATCCTCAAATTTGCCAAGTAGGACTATTTCCCCTGGGATGAGAGAAGTGGGAAGAAGGGTGGGGGGAAATGTCCTCCAGTTGGCCACAGCTACTTCCCATCTGCGAGGTATGGAGCACAGGTGTCCTTTGTCAGGATAATAAGCTTTCCATGCAAGTTAACCTTGGCTAACACCCAGCAGTGGGCACATGGGTGGTTTACTATTTCTGGAAATTAAAGAAGTTTATATTTTAAAAAAAATTCTTCAGGTGATGGTGACATGAACCAGAGTTACTACTGAGCTAAGAGATTAGAAACATTAAAGTGAAATGTCTATTCAAACAGAAGAGTTCTAGCCAGGCTCGGTGGCTCAGCTTGTAATCCCGTCCCTTTGGGAGGCTGAGGTGAGTGGATGGCCTGAGCCCGAGGGTTTGAGACCCACCTGGGCAACTTGGTGAGACCTCATCTCTACAATAAATCAAAAATTAGCCGGGCGTGATAGTGCACGCCTGTAGTTCCCACTACTTGGAAGGCTGAGGCAGAAGGATCGCTGGAGCCCAGCAGGTCGAGGCTGCGCTGGCTGGGAGCGGCCACTGCACTCCAGTCTGGGTGACAGAGTGAGACTCAAACTCAAAAAAAAAAAACAGACAGAGGCAGCCGTTACACATCACTGCATATGCTAGTGGCCCAGCCGCCACTGCTGCCATGGTTGCTGCTGATGCTGCCGCTGCCACCAAGGCAGGCATTCCACAACGCACCGTCAGTGCCTGAGGGGTGGGCAAACAGCTGAGATAAAGACCATCTGGAGCGAGGGATAACACCACCTGCTGGTGATTCAAGGTTTGGGCAAAAGTTTATTCTTGGGGGAACAAGATGGCGACAGCATAGGTGAACTTGTGAGATTCTCTGAACATGAGTTCCCAAAAAGACTCTTACTTTTCTTCACCCAACCCCAGCCCACCACCAGCAAGCACTGGTCCGAGGTCTGGGGACCGTCGGTCCCACGCCGGGCTGGATACTGCGGCCCCCTGCTGCTGCTGTTTCACCATGTGCATGGGAGTCTTGGGTCTCAGCTAGCTCCCTGGCTACATTGTCTCTCATCGTCACCAAGCCACTGGTCACTCAGGGAGGCTCTGGGCACCCGCCCCTCAGAGACATCGGTCCCTTTCCTGGCTGAAGTACCCTGTGGGGGGCCCAGGGCCACTCTTGCCACTCACCATCTGCCCATTGGCGCTTTGGAGCTCTGGAGCTCCAGGCCCACCCTCTCTGAGGAACTCAGCCCGTGACCCCAAGCTTGGGGACCCAGACAAGCGGAGAGAAAGGGATCTACGAAAGAGAATCTGCCTCACCTTTCTCCAGACAGGGATTTCCATTGTCCTGCCCACCTATCAACAAACTCCACCTCGGTTCCTAAGGAACCAAGACTACATACTGCTGAATGGACAGATTGTAAGGAAGAGGGAAATAGGTTCCAGTGTGCTCATACACCTGTTTGTGGATGCTAGAATCAGCATATACACTCTGAACCACAGCTTCCCTCTCAATTAAACCTCAAAACTGCAAAAAGTACAGATTGCAGCCTACACTCCAACCTCAAAAGTGAACAAAGCCAGAAGACCCTCATAAGGAAGAACAGGATATAGCAGAAGAGAAATAAAAGCAACCACACCTTCCCTCAAAAACAGAATTAAATAAAGGGAGGGAAAGGGGGAGAGAGAGAAAAATCTACACAAATGAAGAAAAACCAAAAGAAGAGTATGGGTCTCTCCCAGATCCCTGGAAGGGCAGACACTGAGAAAACTGACTTCGGAATGCAAACAATGAAGAGCCCCCAGAATGAAGGGTCTCAAACTACAAACTTTGATATCAAGACAATAATGGAGAGATTAAAAAGAATTGAGGAGACACAAGAAGAAACTAGGAAGGAGCTGATATCTGAGATAACAGTAATAAAGAATACTGTGAATGAAATAAATAACAAACTGATAAGCATGGAAAGCAGAATTACCCAAGCAGAAGAAAGAATTTCAGAGCTTGAGGACCAAAATATAGAACTAACCCAAACTCTTAAAAACACAGAAAACAAACTCAAAAAGACAGAACAAAACCTTGAAGAGATGAGCGATTACTTCAAGAGACCAAACCTAAGAGTAATTGGCATACCTGAAGCAGAAAGAGAGACAGAGACCACACTAGAACAAACTTTCCATGAGATCATTCAAGAAAACTTCCCTTATCTAATCAGTGATGCAAAAATTCAAACACGAGATTCAGAGAACCCCTGCAAGACAACAAATGAGAAGACCAACTCCTAGACACATAATAATTCGCCTAAACAAAGTAGGCATAAAAGAAAAAATCCTAAAGGCAGCAAGAGAAAAAGGCCAGACCACCTACCATGGAAGACCAATCAGAACAGCAGCAGATTTATCTACAGAAACCCTGCAGGCTAGGAGAGCTTGGAGTCCTATCTTCAAAGTCCTAAAAGATAAACAAT